TGATGTATTCCAAAATGTTCTATTGCACAACCTCTTGATACCCCACTCCACCCTGTCTGGTCAAACATCAGCAGAAGAACATTAGACAAAATGAAGAAACAGGATTTTAAAAGAATTTTAAAAAGCTCTGCAATTGTTCGCCCCCCACCCCCTGCCCTTGGTTAGTACCCTTGACAGTGCTAGAATCTAAAATTTATTTTCTGGGCAATCTTAGACAATTTTGGAGTGTGGACATGCCCCAACAGCAGATCCGAGCATTATGCTACAGTGGCAATCTTGGTCAATAATTAGCAACGAGAGGAAGACTTGGCAGTAAATGGCTTAACTGGAGTTACAGGAAATGAGGGCCAATCCTACACAATTGGGATCTTCAAATTGCAGGTGGGAATGAGTTGGGATATTATTTGGGCAAAACATTAGAAAGAAATTGGGTTGGGATACCGTTGAGGGCAAAAGAAAGAGTGCCTTATCTGGAGTTAGTACAAGCAAGGTCAGGAGCAGTAGGGAGCTTACACAGAGACAGAAGCAATGACAAGCTGTGTTAGAGGTCGAAATCAGCAAAAAGGATAAAATAAGGAAGAACACTGAAAGGCAATATGAAATAGGAGCTACAATTCTAAAAGGGGATGCAGGACCTGGGTGTATAACGTGAAGAGATCATTGAATGTAGTAGGACTGGTGGAGAGAGCAGTTAATAAAGCAGTGTCCTTAGCTTTACTAATGGGAGCAGAGAACACAAGAGCAAAGAAGTGATGTTGAACTTGTACAAGGCATTTTTGTTAGAATTCAGTTGTACTATAGGCAAGATGTGAACGCAGAAGCAATTCACAAGAATGGTTCCAGGAACAAGAAACTTCAGATCCAAGGATAAGTTGAAGAGGTTGGGACTGTCCTCCTTGGAAAAGAAAGTGGCCGAGAAGAGATTTGATAAAGACCTTCAATATATGAGCATGGATAAGCTGTTACTGCTCAAAAAAAGGAACAAGAGACCATAAATATAAAGTGATGTGCAAATGAAACAAGGGTGAAATGTGGTAAACTTCAGAGTAGTTAGGGTGTGAAATGTGGTGGAAGTAGATTCAATCGAGGCACTAGAGGGCATTGGAGGATTTGGATAGGAACGGTGTGCGAGGAAGAAAAGCAGGAGATTGGCACCAAGTAATGATGCTTGAAGAGCCTGTGTAATCATGATGAGCTGAGTGGCCTCCTATACCAGAACAATTCTGGTGATTCAGTACAGAGGGGGAGGGGAAAGCAAAGATAAAAATGTTAGTTGGAAGGCCCTAAAAAGGAATGTTAGGTCTAATCCACACTTCTGTTCCTACAAAGTGGAATAACAAAAAAGCTTTGGAAACCTAGTGTAGGTGCTTATAATAGGATGAAGGCGGTTTGCAGAAAATTCCCTTTTCTCCTCAGTAGCAAAGGTATTGGAAATTCTTACGTTGCAAATTTTTTTTCTTCAAAATTTGCTTTCTTAGAAGAGCAAACTATTTTAGAGTCTTAATTACTTGATAAAGGCTGCACCCAATAGCAAAATCAAGGCAGGCAAAAAAAGTAAATTATAGGGATCTGAAGTCACATGCATGTCAGACCAGGCAAGAATGAGATTTCCATCCCTAAATGGAAATTTGTTGTGAAAACTAATTCAGTTCCTTAATGAGGGGTCACTTGAGATAATGAATATCTGGAATCAAGTTGATTCACATTTCACCATGTGCTACAGTGGGATTCAAACTCATGACCCCAGACCATTAGCCAGATCTCTGGATGATTTGACTAATGACCATGCATTAATGGGATCGACTGCCCAAACTAAATCGCATTTCTTTGAACTTATCCGATTCTCTTTTGAAAGTCACCATTGACTCTACCTCTTCCACACACCAAGCAGAGCATTCCAAATGCCAACCACTAGCTGCACAAACAGATTTTCCTAACGACATCATTGCTTCATTTGGCGGACCACCTTACTGTCGTTTGGTTTTTGAAGATTCCAATGGGAAGGGTTTCTTCTTATCTATTCTATCCTAATTCCTTGCAATTTTGAGCACACCAAGTCTCCTCTCAACCTTCTCTTCTCCAAAATGAAAGTCTGGACTTTCATGTGAAAAAAAAAAATTAAAAAAAATAAAGAGTCTGCTTGTTGCATTTGGCTAAGTCGTCAATCTAGCAGAGGACTCAATAGTCAAAGCCAGATGTGAAGATTTCTGAACATTTCCAGGTATGTTTAGGAGAATAGGTGCGAATAGATCAGAACCCACCCAGAGGAGCAATCTCCTGCAGGGGAGCATTTCCCACTCACCTCCCCCGATCTCCATTGCATTTCAGACCAGTTAGCCACACTGAAACTGGAAAGCTGTTCAAGGTGAAGGGCCACGTGAGCATGAGTTCCAAGATCATCAAACCATATTCACACCATAAACTGTTAAGCAATGCACATTATCTATAGAATGCACTGCAGCATCTTACAAATCCACAAACACTCAGGGAGGCAATGGCCTAGTTACACAGCAATGACATTATTGCTGAACTATTAATCTAGAGACCCAGGTAATTTCCAGGGACTTGGGTTCAAATCCAACATCAGATTGTGGCGTTTGAATTCAATAAATATCTGGAATTAAGAGTCTAATGATAACCACAAAATCCGTTGCCAATTGTCAGGAAAAACCACCATCTGGTTCCTTAATGTCCTTTAGGGAAGGAAGCTGCCATCCTTACCTGGTCTGACCTATGTGATTCCAAACCCACATCAATGTGGTTGACTCAACCACCCTCTGGGCAATTAGGGATAGGCAATAAATACTGGCTACCCTCATTCTGTGAATGAATGGCCAAAAAAGAAAAAAAATGCAGGACCAGAGTCTGTAACCTGTGGCTCGAGATTAATGTGGCTCTTAAATGTTATGTTTGCAGCACCAAATCTTTTGTTGATCAAATGTTTAAAAGCCTAAAAACCGAGCTATTTTCTCATTGTGATATTAAAAGCTATGTTGTGCTGTACTTTACAGATTCAAATATTTTTTCAACAAGGACCTGACATAATATGGAGTCATATAGCTCCAGAGTTTTGGATAGTGCCTCTGATTCAAGGAACAGGTTTTTAAATGGCTATGACTGCTTCTAATGTAGTGAATTACAATTTAAAATCAACATTTGGATAAACTGAATGTACTATTAGCAGCTTTTTAAAAATCATGTAACTTCAGATAAAAACAAAGATGCAGAGAAAAATGGACAATGACGATCGCAAAAAAGTCAAAAATGCAGCGAGAAAATTAAATTTTCCTATCAATTCAAATTCATGCATTGTACATGCAAGTTACACATTATATTAGACAAATTGCCCCATGACTTAATTTGTTTCCAAATGCAAATTTTTATCTTGCAGCATCAAATAGGCCAGTTCTCGGCATGGAGGGATTTTCTTACGAGGACAGTATTCATTGGAGTTTAGAAGAATGACAAGGTAGATGTAGGGATGTGGTTTCCCTTTATGGAGAGTTTGGGACCAGAAGGTATAACCTCAGGGCAAGGAGCTAGCAGACAGAACAAGTTTCTTCTGAGCACCGATTTCTGCATATTCAGTACACTGTAGAGGGCTGCGGAAACTACATTAATTATATTCAGGCTGAGCGCAAGCAAGTGATATTTTTAAATCAGTAACAGAATCAAAAGGTAATGGAGAAAGACAGGAAAAGAAAATTCCTGATCATCAGATCAGCCATGGTCTTATTAAATGGCATAGCAGACTTAATGGACTGAATGGCCCATTTTTGCTGGTCTTATTGTTTTACTTTCTCTGAAAAGGGTTCTTCAGGAAAGTAATATTGCCAAACACTAGCCAACAGGAACAATGGCAACAGCAGGACAGGGCCAATGTTCCCTCCAGGCTGTAAACCATCACAGCTGGCTATGTCTGCAAATCGTCATTCCTTGGCATTGGGTCAAAAAAATTGTGCAATTGCCTAACCCAACACTGAGTCCCTTCAATAGAACAGTTCAAAAAATGGCCCAGTAATAAGCCCAAGTAACAAAAACAGCTGTGTTCAACAGTCACATCAAAAATTAGTCTAAACTCTTTCACATCTTACTGAAAAGCTTGCCTGGCTCCAGCTGGCATTTTCTTTGGTCAGTTCTGTTCCCCACCCCCATTGTCAAGCTCACAACAGGTTAAAGGGCAATGAACTCCTCCCAAACATCTTGCTATCTCCACAACTTCATGTACTTCCTCTAAAAAAGGAAAAGGCACAAGAGAAATAATCTATAATAAGTACTGTTTTTCCGGCTGCAATTCACTGTCTCTAATTCCTGAATTAGTAATTGTACCAGAGGGGATATGCAACAGGCTGCCTTCCGTTACCAAAAAAAGTTTAATTGGAAACTTGCTCACTTGGCAATCTATAGGGTTTCTGTAACAAGGAACAGAGCAAGGCTGCTCTGGTTAGGGATTAAATCCAGATTCTATTTCAGTCCTGATCAAGCCCAAATTTAAAGACTATTTGCACAGCACAAGAAGTTCCCTGCAGTAAAAAGTTAGTTTGTCCTTTCTACCAACAAAGAATTATGTTCTAGCACTTATTTAGCTGATGCAAAACCCCAAAGCCAAGTCATCACCTCCTCACTGAGTTTAAAGGGGAGGAGGCCGCCACCTTGTCTAAAGGGACGCTTCTAAATCATTTGCAACACTATTTATATCTCTCCACAAGCACGCAAGGGATTTGTATGACGTTGCAGTGGTAGAGGGTGGCTGTGCAAGGGCTCGATTCGTCTGGATTCTGTTAACCAAGGATCAAACTGTGGTAGTTCAAAGCCTACTTGGAGGTGTTGCATGTGTTAGTGAATTCCCGTGTTGCCATTCTAATGCTTAGCCAAGCAGCACCAATCAATCATTCTCTTTTACTCACCTGACCAAAAGCAAATGGAGACATTTGTCCTACACCATGGGTGAGGAGTTTATAGTTGATCTTTGGCAATTTTGTAAATGAATGAGCTTTAGGTCAGTTTTCAAATGCTTTATTTATCTTCCACTCAGATTTAAAAAACCAAAACACTTGCTGCGTATCAGCCCTAGAGATTTACACACTGCCAATGCAATATCCAGTAAGGCAAGACTCAGTAGTGCAACAGGCCAGCTAGTTCAGAGAGCAGCAACTAGTGTGTGCTGTTACTTAAAGATTAATGCCTGATTGAAGGGTTTTCCTACATGTTGGAATGTTCCTTCCATCATAAAGTACTCCTTAATCATGGTCTTGCATTCATCAGTGTCTATATCCAATTTCTTCCAGGAATATGGCTCACAGATTACATGCCAGTCTTCATTTAACTAGAGAGAGGAAAACCATATAAGTTAGAACAGTAGCAGCAAGCAAGTGGGCCTCTAGGAGAAAGTACATGATTTTACCAGAGCAGGATACACAAGACAATATCCTCAGCCCTCCAAAAGACAAGAACTGAGGACATACCTCCCACATGTTACATGTACACCTGGAAACCTCAAGTGAATATTCACAAGAGCACATCCAGGCAGGGCAAAGACAGGAGAGGCAGAGATGGTTAGTGGAGATGTATCAGATGTGGCCAAGGTGGTAACACAAAGCTGTAGAACAACAGCTGTCAATCCAACAAGGTCTCTTTGCAGGGGAGGATGCTGCAAGTTGTAACTGAGAAAGAGTTTATTTGGGTCATTTTTGATAAAATAAAATTAAAAAAACTGCACTTTTGGTGACAGACAAAAAGCTTAACCAGCGAATCAAGCAAGAATGTACTTATCACAAGCCCAACTAGAAGATCTCAGGTTTGAGATTTGTTGAAAGATTAGAGTTCTAGCTGAATAGAATCAGAGTGGGTTTTGGTGCTTGAGGCAAGAAGAACAGGAAGCAGGCATGGAGGTACATATTCCTGACTAGCACTTCAAGATTTTACACCAACCTCATCTCATTTTGTTCCCATCTGAGGTCAGTAACTAATATTCATACAACACAAATTAGTTTTTTTTGGAAATGATTAATACAATACAATCACTGCCCCTTGATATTCAATGCCATCCTGGGGGTTACCACCGACCAAACACCAAATAGAGGGCACTTGGTAATCATCAGCAGCTTTCTTTGCTGAGATTTGGCCTGATACCATGAGGTTTCATGAGTTTTAAATCTGAGCAATTCTTTCCTGACCCACCCCTACGGATTTGTCCCAGATATGGGACAAGTGCAGGCAGTTGGGATCACAAGATTATGCTCAGCATGGACTGGTTGGACTGAAAGGTCTATTTCTCTGCTTTAATGACTCTGACAGGACAAACCCGGAGGGGGTGGTGATGTGGTGACTAGGACTAGTCAAACAATAGCTTGATTGGTCTGTGGAACAGACCATTTTTTGGTACAAGCCCCTGGTGTTAGTCATGGAGCCTTTGCCATTACTGGTAACTTGGTCAATGCCAAATGATTCACTTGAGCTTCTATTTCTTTTATCAAATTTGTAGCAGTTATATTCAATTCCAAACCCTCACCCTCCCAACCAAGGTCATTTCAGAATCAACTACATAGCTGTGTATCGAGCCAGACTTGTGAAAGGCGATATATTTTCCTTCCCTAAAGGGGACACAAGTGAACCAAATGGATTTTTACAATAGTCAAAGGCTTTAGGGTAAACACTGAATTAGCTTTTTAAATTAATAAATCTGGAACAAAGTCAAATTTTCATTTTTTGTTGTTGTGAATTTTGAGCCCTGTTTCCTCAGAGTATTAGCCTCGTCACTGGACTAGGAATCCAGAGACGACATCTCCATTAAACTAGTTCCCCGCCAACTCCCAAAATCATAGAAATATGTTGCACGTGACCAAGAGACACTTCAATAGCCAAGGTTAAATAAATGAATGCCACAGCACGGAGGGCTGTTGACAAAGAATCCAATTTCTGGTCAGAAGTCAGCACCTTTAGGACAGGTATAAAATATGCAAATAGAAAACTGCAGAGATAGTAGGAACTGCCGATGCTGGAGAATCTGACACAAGGTGGTGTCGAGCTGGATGAACACAGCAGGCCAAGCAGCATCAGAGGAACAGGAAAGCTGACATTTTGGGTCTAGACCCTTCAGAAAATTTTTCTGAAGGGTCTAGACACGAAAGGTCACCTTTCCTGCTCGGCCTGCTGTGCTCATCCAGCTCGACACCTTGTGTGAAAAGAAAACTGCATCCCATTTATCACCTCCATCTTCAGTTTCATCTCAGATTTTAAAAATAAAACAAACAAACAAAAAACACAACTGGTTATATTCTTACTTTGGGAAGGAGTTGCTGTCCCCGCATAATCCAAATTCCAGAGATTGAGCTGTCACCACCAGTGCCAAACAGGATCACACTAGCAAAGCTGTGCTCCCGTAGACTATCCAAGTGTTGGAATAGCCCTGCAATCAATTTCAGATAATAAAAATCAGCCAGCAAGAATACTTCACTGGCCCAGTCATTTGCACACAAGAGGATTTGGTTTGGTGACATCTTAGAATGTTGACAATTTGTAGTAGGTGTACATGACATCCCAATCATCTCTTTAAAAAAAAAAAAGAATTAGAGAGTTCCTGAAACCAGTGAGGCAGACAAGCCAAAATCTACTTGTTAATTTATCCAATGGAATTGAAGGCTTATTTTAACTGTTGCTGTCTGAGAAAGTGCATGAAAGAATTTTACATTCTAAATCTCTAAACTATTAAGAACAGAACAATGTTCTGTATCCAGAGCAGGCAGTAAAATGCCAATAGCTAGTTCTGGTTTCATTATTTGCCCATGTCTTCCACTGCATCATCCCTAATCTCTTGCCATTTGTCAAGCCCCATCACCAATTTCTTGCCATTTGTCAACTAACTCCAATTCTCATGGACCTTATCTTCCCAAGCAGACCTTTAGCTGACTAGCCAATAGGACTTGAGTTATCCAAACTGATTGATAATAGTTGGGCTGTCTGCATTTTTCAATTGGTTAACTGTTTTATTTGTAGTTGGAGCCACTCACTCCTCTTATTGAGCCAGGGCCTCCACTGCTCCCTGGCTTTGGTCAGTAGGCTCTCGGGGGGGGGGGGGGTGGAGAAACAGTTTGGAAGAGAGAGCTGGGATCTTTAGGGAAGTTGAGTGGAGGATGGAACAAGGGAGAAAGATGAAAAAAGGGATGGGTATAGCATGACAGTAAACTATTAAACTAAATATTAATTTCACTGCAAAGTGTTTGGCAGGATCCCACTTGTCTTTATATGATTGATGTGATAGTGAGAACAAGTTTATTAAATGTTCCTTATACTATGGACTGCAGTGGTTTAAGGCAGCTTGGGATAGATAGGTAATAAGTGCTCAAAAATCACAGCAAGTCAGGCAGCATCCATGGAGATTGATTAAGCCAACATTGCATATCGAGATGACTCTTCAGAGCTCAAATGCTGGTCCAGCTGGCAAAAGCTACATACTGTGAAAGGATAAAAATCTTATTCTAGGTTGGGATCAGAAGGTTAATCTCATTCTCTGAAACTTCATGACAATCAACATTCAGTTGTGTATTAAATGACAACACTACATATCCTCAAAACACCAGAATTTGATCACATCTCCCTTCTGTTTTCCAGTTATTTACTGACCAGTTATTAAACTGGAGCTCCTGCAATCCAGACAGAGCTTGCTGGGGTACTTGTACTCCATGTACCAAAAAGACCAACCCTCTTTATCAAAGTGGTCCCACAAGTAAGGAAGTGCCACAGAACTGATATCCTCATTTGAGTACTTCCACTTGAACTCATTCAGAACAAAGGCACTGAAAGAGATAATGCAAGACTGTCACACCATTTAAACATGTTAGTCAACAAAGAACAAAAAAGGACAGACAATACACAATCCACAATATCCAAAATCAACACCAGGAATTGGTTGGGGTGACATTTTTGGGATCGGATTATTTAAATCACATTTTTCTCAGGAGGATTTTAAGCAGCTAAACTATTTCATTCTCATGTTTATTATAGACAAACATTTAATTTATAAACTGAAGGGTTAATTAGTAGGAGCAGAGATGCATTGAGCAATTCACATAGTAAAGGCAACTGTTGGATTATTTGTCCACCGGAACCTGTAACTCTCAATGTCCCTGCTGAGCACAAATCTAGTACTCAGTTTTGAATTTTTAAGTTGATCCCCAGCTGCAGTTGTGCATAAAAAAAAAAAAAAAAAGAGTGGAGGATCTGCATTATTCTTGAAGTTCTTCCCATTTTACCCCCTAAACGGTCTAATTTAAAGATTACATCTCCTTATTCTGGAATCCCAAAAGAAAATGAAATGATCTGATCTGATCTGCCCATCTGAAACCTCAATCATCCCTTAAATCTCCAATGCAAGGGATCAAAAACAGACTTCAACCCCATACTTGTGCGTTCCCCAAGGTCAAAACATCAATCTGGGATGTCTTGACCAGAAATGCTGTGTGCGCGCATGTGTAGGAGAGAGGGGAGGGGGTGGTTGACAAACTTTATACAGCTAACATTACTTCCACCCATTTGAGATAAAGACCAAAAATCCATTAACTTTTGTAAATTTGTCTAAAAAAGTTATTTTTGGGAAGGTGACCGAGTAGTGGTAATATCACTGCGTAATCCAGAGCACCAGGCTAATGACTTGAATTCTACTATGGCCGACAGAAATTGGACAGCTGTTGAGGCAAACTGGTAGTGTCATTACCTCTGGGCTAGAATGTCCAGGTTCAGGCCCCCACCTGTTTGGAGATGTCATAGCATGTCCAATCAGGTTGCTTAAAGTGATCATAAAACATTGAAGTAGTGTCTTTTTTTTTTAAAAAAAAAAAAAAGCAATAAATGTAACCTAGAATATGAAACAGATTCCTCCATGCAACCCACCCTTACCTTCTTGGTAAGTGTGCAAAGGGATCTTTGATTTTTAACTGGTCAGTCAATTTAGTGTAGTCCTGTTCATCACCATGTGCTCGGGAAAGCCCCTCCAGTCCCTCTGTAGCCAGCTCGCCTCTTTGAGATGCGTCCACTTTACTAGTGTCAGCAGTTCCATTGTCTTTAGGTGCATCAGCCAAGCTTGTTCTAACTGACCCGTACTCCAGAGAAGGATCAACTGTGTTGAATCTCTCTTTTGAAGTTTCTAGGAGGTGAACAGCATCAGTTGTAGGGGTATACTCCATATAAGCATGTATTGCCCCAGTAGCTGCTTCTTTACATGCTATATCCTTTTCAGAAGGATCTGGTGTACTCAATGCAGCCGCAGTGACTTCTTCCAATGATTCTGTCACACAAACCTCACTCATGCTCTCCTCTCCAGCCAGCCTATTTTTGGTTACATCCATTAATCTGGTTTCTTGCTTAGATGAAGCATCTGGCTCAGAATCATACTTTACCTTTGAGTCAACATGAATGGCCTTTCCAGGAGCAGCCATCCTGACAACAGTCTCTTCAGCTTTTTGATGTTTCGGAGCATTGAGCTGGCTTAGTCCAACCGGTTTCTGCTCTTCAGAAGCTTCCGTTATGCAGATTTCAGTAACAGATTCTTCTTTTGACTTGTGTACAAAGCTCACTTCAACATCCTCTCTGGAAGAGGATAATTCTGGTAAAGTGACTCCTGCTATAGCTCTCTGTGCAGAATAGTCCACAGTAGGTGCAGGCTGGTTAAAGGGTACAACTGACTTTGTCTCCTCATGAATACCTCCCTCTTGGATTTGAACTGTGACCTCTTCAGTTACTTCCTGCTCTTTCAAGTTACTGGTTATGTGGATGGTCTCTTTAGAAAAATCTATCAGAACAGAAGGATTCTTCTCTTTAGTACCCATAGCCTCACCTTCTTTTTCTGTGGAAACATCTCCTTTAGGGGAAACGATGGAGCTTACTTCTTTGGTTCTACTCTTCACTGAGGCACATACTACAGAAAGTTGTTCTTCTGATCCACCTAGCAAACTTTCAGCACGAGTTGGTCTCTGCTCTGGGGGAGAAGCTACACCACCAACAGTTGCAGCCTCAGCCAGAGAGGTTGCAGGAGCAAATACCATTGCAGCTATTTCTTTATCGAGTCCCGTATCAACTGGGCCAACTTCATTTGATTTATTTGTGGGAGTTGCAATTAAGCAGGTCTCAATTTTGGTGACTTCTTGGGTTTCTGGTAGCTTTGGTGCTATTTGGAGAGAAAAATAAAAAGGAATCATTTGGTGCAGAAAGTGTCACCCTTGTCCACCGAGTAGGCAACACTTCCAACTTCCCACAATTCTATTGAGTCAAAAGATAACAGCTGCACAAACAGCAAATTTTAGCAGACTATAAAAATCCAGGCAAACTAATTGATTTCAAAAACCAAAACAATTGTGGATGCTGAAAATCAGAAACAAAAATAAATTGCTGGAAAAATCTCTAGATCAGTCAACGTGCGGTAAGACAGCAGAGTTAACATTTTGGGGCCAGTGACCCCTCTTCAGAACTAGGAACTATAACTAGTCATTATTTGGGATGATAGTAGATTGAAGGCAAGGAAAGAATCTTTGAACAGTATTTAGGGAATCTTTAGTCAGTTATAAAGTCAAAGATGTACAGTGCAGAAACAGACTCTTTGGTCCAACACGTCCATGCTGACCAGGTACATTACATTAATCTAGTCCCATTTGGGATCAAGGGTGATAGTGTAGGAATAAACCATGAGTTGCACATTTAGGATGGTACTAATCACCAAAAGGACATAGCTGCTGTTCTGTCACCCAACTAAGAGATAGATGGAATTTAAAAAAAAAAAAAAGTTTGTGGGGACACATTTTTGAAGTGATCAGGAGAGGTCAAAACACAAACTTAAATGGCACAGTTCTTAAGACTGTCCCAAAGATGCATGTGCATTACTCTTCCCTCCTTTCAAAGTAGAGTGTATTTGGAATGTTTGGCTTCAGAGAAATACAAAATTTGAAAACAAAAGTAGGCAAGTTGTACCAAAGCTTTATAAAGCTCCAATTAAGTCAGAGTGCTATGTCAGTTCTAGTCAAACTTTAGGAAGCATGAGAAGGTCAAGAGTGCGCAGAGAAGACTTGCCAGAATAATTCCTGGCAACAGAAATGGAATCATGGCTACAATGTTAAGTTGGAGAAGGTGGAATTATTCTCCTTGTGCAAGGGAAATTGGAGGCGTTCCGGATTGTGATAGACTTGGAAAAGAAGGTAAACAAGGAGAAGTTGAGTACAAAGAATAGACACACAGACTTAATAGATTTTGGGCAAGACATGTGGTAAAGTTGAGAGAAATATCGACACAGCAAGTAGTAATGACCTGGAACTCGCAACCTAAAAAAAGGGTGGAGACAGTAGGTACCAATTATTTCATAAAGGAAATGAAACTGGAATGAAATAATCTTGTAAAGCTATTAGGATAGATCAGAGGAATGGGACCAACAATACTGCTCCACAGAGAACTGGCACCATCCAGTGTGTGAAAATGAACCACTTCAGTGCTACAAATATTTCTAAAAAATGCTGCTCCTTAAAGATCTGCCTGTTTGTGGCAAATTTAAAGTGGAGGAGAGGACAGCAAATGGGGTCAGCAGAATCCCTTGTTCTGTGACACCCAGCAAAACTAAAAATCAACAAAGCATCAAAGCAGCTTCGGGTATGCATACCCCTCTAAAAATGGTACTCAAGTCTAAAAGGAGGAGAGAGATTGGACTGTATGGCACTTCTAAGCAGATTTGAAAATTGTATTCAAACCAAAAGTCACTCACCTAATAACACCCACTGCTCCTCACTACCCAAGACCTGCATCTTGGAACACCTGCCATATTTTCTGGACCCACAGGCAATGGGCAACATCATTAAAGGAAACCAAAAAAACAAACAAACAAACCGACCAATTTATTCACACAAGTGTTGTACCGCCCATTTACAAGTTACTGGACTCTGCAGCAAATCATCTTAGTTTCAATGTACTGATTAGGATTTTCTTCTAGAATCTAGGAGGAAACAAAGCACCTAGGAGAGGATGCCATGGAGATACTAAAAAAGTGGGGGGGCGGGAGAGTGTACATCCCTTTAGGATGACCACTAACCAACCCAAACAATGAATTAAGTCTCAACTCTTGGGAGGCATGTCAGATGTGGCCAGAATAAAACTGAACACGCCATAAAAGCAGACTCAAGGACATAAATGACGTGCAGGGGAGTGCAAAAAGACCAAAATGAAGATCATGGGGTTGGGGGGTGGAGGGGAGAGAGAAGAAAAATAAAATGATTAAAGAAATTTGTGCCCGAGTGCATCTCACTGAAACAGTGCTAAAATGGAACTAAGTGGTAGTCAACAAACATAGGAAAGACGAGTAGAATACAGGGAAGATTGAGGAGTTTCTCAAATTCATAACACGTAGGATAAATGATAAGAGGTTGAGGCAGCCAGCCTATCAATATTAGCTCTTTATATATAGAGTACCCACTAGGTCAGCACACCAAACTCAACTGTTTTAATGGTTTACTGGATATATTCAAGCCAAGTTTTAGTTTTCAAATCTGCTTGTATGTGCCATATAATGTGATCTCTAATCTCTTATTAGACGTTAAAATTTACTGCTTAGAATGGATTAGTTCAATTAAAAGCAGACTACATACAAAAGCTAATGGTGTTACATCTATCTTTTAAAGTTGTTTCGCCAGATTTCCTTGGACCCCAAGGGGTCTTACCTTTGCTAAGAGTCTCCCATGCAGGTCCATTTTTAAAGGCCTCGCTGAAGTCCAAATAGATTTGTATCAAATGCATTGCCTTCACTTACATATCTGGGCACACCTTGATTTGAATTCAGAGATGACTTCCCCTTAAAACCACATTGACAGTTCTCTATTAATGCCAGCCTCTCCAAGTACAGATTAATTCTGTCTCCAAGTCAGCAGTCATTCTAAGCAAATGAATGGCTTTGGAGGGTATTGTCTATCCCATTAAAAGAGGGCTTCAGCTCTCCTGCTTAGTACAACCAACACCTTGCTGGATGCAGATGTTGCTTCCTCACCTGTACACTGAGCAGCTGGCTCACAGAACACCACCTCCCCCAATACTTTTCGGAATGGAGGCTGATTAACACAGGCAGCAAACCAACGGCTTACTTCAGTGTAGTTCTCCTGCAGGGAAGGGTCCAAAACCTAGAGGAAAAAAAGCACTGTTACTCTCCAAACTTGGCAAAGACATTAGCTAAGCTGCAATATCCAAGTTTATTGTTCCTAAGTTTATACCATTAACCATAGGCAATTACTAAATTCTATGTCAAGTTTAACAACCCATCACTAAACAGTTCTACCTGGAATAAAAGGTGGACATCTGTCACATTTGAGAAATATTTTAGAGCTATATTTTGAATCAAAGTAAAAAAAAATCAAGCAAATCATCATCTGTTTTGCAAGACCCACTGCTCTTAGCGAAGCTAAGTTATGATTCCATGTGTCGGTCACCTCAGTTTTGATATACTGATGCTAGATTAAGATTTTCTTCTAAAGAAAAACCATGGGAGGAAATTATGCACATGCTATGGAGATACAAGAGGGAGGAAAAAAGCATACATTTCAATGTGAATTATTAATAGCCAAATCTGTGCATTAAATCTTAGCTCTTGGGAGGCAAGTCCAATATGGCCAGGTTAAAATTAAATATACTAGAAAAATCAAAAAAAAAAAATTTAAGGAGGTGAAGCACATGAAATGAAGTGCAAGAAGACCTAATGAGGATCATAGAAAAAAATAGGAACGACTCAAGAAATGCACTAAATGCATCCCACTGAGACAAACTACTAAAAAGAGAACAGAATAGTAGTCAATTCTGTAGCTTAAACTGTACACACAGAAACATTGATAGGCTGTTTGACTACAGGTCATCAGAAGGAACTTCAACTTGGCATCCAAACATGTGCTTCCCAGAGATCACCAATTGCAAGACAGCAAGAATCCTGACCAAATCTAACAAACAACCAAGCTTATCAGGATTATCCTCCCAAACTTCTGCATTCAGTCTGGAGTTGCAATAGATAGCACCCCTGCCTGAGCCAGAAGCTCAGATTTCCACCCCAGACCAAGGGTCACAGAAGGTGCTTGGAGCCCTTGCTGTTTGTGATACATACAAAAGCAACTTACGCTTATACATAGGGAAGTTGATCAGCAAATTCATGGATATGAAAGTTGGTGGGGTGGTGAATATAGACAGGCTGATCAGTGGCAAAACAAAATTTAATTTGTCTAAGTGGGAGGTGATGCACTTGGGCAGGACAAAAAAAAAAAAAAGACAAGGGAACACCAATCCATGCACAACCCCACAGGACAAGTTTCTCGTCACACAACACATCCCCAATTGGCTAACAACCCCTGCTTCCTGTCATTTAGCCAATTCTGGATCTATTTCGCCAGATTTCCTTGGACCCCAAGGGGTCTTACCTTTGCTAAGAGTCTCCCATGCAGGTCCATTTTTAAAGGCCTCGCTGAAGTCCAAATAGATTGGTGTCAAATGCATTGCCTTCACTTACATATCTGGGCACACCTTGATTTGAATTCAGAGATGACTTCCCCTTAAAACCACATTGACAGTTCTCTATTAATGCTGGCCTCTCCTAGTGCAGATTAATTCTGTCTCGAAGAATTGCTTCCAACAGTTTTCCCACCACTGAAGTTAGACTGAATGGCTTATAGGTTCCTGGTTTATTCTTTACTCCCTTTCTAAATACTGGTAATGCATTAGCTGTCCTCTAGCATGCCTCCTGTAGCCAGGGAAGAATTGAAAATTGCGAGCTCCCCTGCCATTTTCTCTTCTTCTGGAATATATTCCATCTAGCCCTGGAGACTTATTTCCTGCCAAATCACAGTAATTAGAATGGACAGAGGAGGCTAAGTATAAATCACAATCTTCCCTGATTTCTAAACTCATTGTTCCTCTTGAGTGAGCTCTGACAATATTTATTTTAGAACCTTGCCCACATCCTCTGGCTCATTACCGCTGTAGTTCTAAATGGTCTGCTCTGTAATTCTTCCCATTTCCTCTAGCAATAAATTTTCAAACACTACATAACAAGCCTTATTACAGTACCGATCCACAGCCAGGGCCAAAGCCAAGAACTCACTGCAAGCAGTTTCCCAGCACATTACACTACTTTACTTATACCACTTTGACAAGTGAACAGAAGACAAAGTACACACCACTTCTCCACAAGACTACAGATTTCACACAAGCCTGTAGGCAACAATTCTGACAAAAGTCAGGTAAATCGAATAGATCAATATTCAAAACTCTAGGGCCAGCTTGAAAAGAAAAGCTTACAATGGAGCTCAACATCAAGAAATATTCAACGTGTCAGACCAGTGGGGGAAAATAGTAGTTTCATTAAGTTATACAGTGGAGTGTTTGGTCAAGCGCTAGCTCACAAACACGTGAATGCACATTTAAACTACTTAACATTGGGAATAGTCTAGGAGTTTTCTTTCTAGGTTAAATGAGGAAAATAATTTTTGTATCATCTTCTGCAGAGATATTTGATGGCCCATTGCTTTAAGAATCAACTGGGGATCTGAAACAGCGAAAAAAACAAAAAGTCTGGATTAAAAAAGGTGAAGTAAAAAGTTGACTTTGGTGCCTCAAATGATTCCGTTTGCCAAGTTCAATGCAACAAGGATTTAGGCATAACTTTGGTACACCAGTACCAAATACAGAAGACCCCATCTGTACCTATGAGTTTCTGTATATGTTAAACACCAAGGGGCTTTGCACTTGGCCTGGTGGGAGATTCAAGTCTGCATTCCCAGAATATCCTCAACATGTCTAAATAGAGGAGTTAATGCATTTCGGGGCAGTATTCCTGGATGTTCCAGTGCACTTTCACAGGGTTTCAAAATCAAGCTTAGTATGGAGGTGCGAAAGACACTTGTGCATGGACAAGATTTGATGGTTAATTTCAAAGGAGGAATTGGAATGTCTCAAAAGAAGCAACGGGAGCAATCAGGCACTCCTAACTATTCCAAGAGCAGGCTGTTCTGGATGTTTAATCAGGGTAGAAAATGTAAGACCAACTAGTCATTGATAGTCACCTGCAAATGTAATGAATACAGTCCACGGCTCAACAGTAGAGACACTAGAGTGGAGAGTCCACAATACTACATCGGAGTCCTGCATAACTAGCACAAGAAGAGGACTGGAAAGTGGTTGATTGAAGAAGAGTTATTAAAATGACAACATTCAAGGACAGGACAGTACAGCACTGCCAAAGTCTTTGTCCACCTTCAGCAAAAAGCACTCAACACCGGGATTAAGGGTTCAAGTTAAAGTAGTTGGGAAAATGTCAGCCATAATTTGCAATCAAGATGGAGTTGGACAGCAAACACTGATATGGCATCTCCAAAGAATCTGAATGATTTTACAACATTCTAACTTGGCTCCAGACCTACAGTACAGCTCTGAAAAATGACACCCCACCCGTCCACTTTTACCACTATGAGCTGGAATATTTTGGTAATTAAAAAAAAAAAAAAGGTAGTCAGGTCTGCAGCCCAGCAATCATCTTGGACTTGGGTAAAAAAAGTGCTTCTGCTAGACTTTTCCTGTCATTGCCAAAAGTTGGTTTCCACCACGGTTGGTGAACCGAGTCATCTCAATACAGCAAAAGAGATCACTCATTGTCCAGTCAGCACTTTTTCCCCCTTTTTAAAATTCATTTAAAGGAGTCACCAATGGTGCTGAATGTTAGTGAACATCCACACTTCTGACTTTATGACAGAGGGAAGGTTATTAATGAAGCAGCTGAAGATGATTGGGCCTAGGACACAGCCTTGAGCTCCCAAAGGGATGCCCTGGAGCAAAACGATGACTGACCTCCAACAAGCACAACCATCCTTTGTATGTGCCAAGAATGGTGCCAACAAGTGGTGATTTTGCCCCCAATACCCACTGATTCCAGTTTTGCTAGGGATCCTTGATGCCACACTGTCGAAAGGAGCCTTGATGTCAAGGGCTGTCACAGTCCCTCAGCGCTGGAATTCAGCTTTTTTCTCCATATTTAAACCAAAGCTGTAATGAGGTCAGGAGCCAAGTGGCCCTGGTGGAACCCAAACTGGGCATCACTAAGCAGGTTATTGCTGAGCAAATTCTGGAGCACAAGTCTTCAGTACTATTGCTGGAATGTTGTCTGAGCCCGAAGACGTTGGTGTATCCAAAGCCTTCAACCGTTTGAAGTCAGAGTGAATCTAATTGGCTGAAGACTTCTGTGATGCTGGAGACCACTGGAGGAGGTAGAGATGGATCATCCACTTGGCACTTCTGGCTGAAGACTGTTTCAGCTTCATCTTTGGCACCGAGGTACTGGGCTCTTCCATCATGGAGGACATGGATATTTGTGAAGCCTCCTCCTCCAGCGAGTTGTTTAATTATCCATCACCATTCACGACTGTGGTGGCAGGACTGCAGAGCTTAGATCTGATCCGTTGGTTGTGGGATCATTTAGCTCTGTCTATTGTTTGCTGCTTATGCTGTTGGCATGCAAGTAGTCCTGTTTGGCAGCTTCATCAGATTGACATTACCCACCCCACCACCCCAAAAGGTATGCCTGCACTCTTCATTGAAGACGGTTGATCCGCTGGCTTGATGGTAACGGTTGAGTGGGGGGGGGAATATGCCAAGCCACAAGGTTGCAGATTCTGGTGAGGTTCAATTCTGCTGCTGTTGTTGGCCCGCATTGCCTCATGGATGCCCACTCTCATTGCACACTGCGAACAGATCTGGCAATATCACTGTGCTAAATGGGACAAAGTGGTGTTAAGTTAACATATACACTAGTAGAGAGGTTTAAACAAAAGAAGTTTAGAGAAACCCTGTTTTCAGTTCAGTTAGCTCAAAATATCCTGAATAACCAGAGAAGAGAAATTAAGTATAACTGAATTAACAAATGCATATTTCCTCACTAACATTGTGCAACACATGAAAGATGTCCTTGTTGAGGGTCTCCTACATACTTCAATGGATTCAACTAGAAAACAGTTGACAGGAGGGAATCTAAGGTCATGTTAGTAGATAGCAAATTATTCCTTACTTGTTTATAAAGTCCCAACATTGCACACACCAGTGTGATATCAGCTAGAGTGATGTGCTCACCAACCAGGTATGTCCTGGCATGGAGATGATCATTCAGCAAGAGCAATACCTTCCTTATGTCAGCTTTAGCACGCTCGACTACCTGTAGAATAAGATTACATGTCAGTATATTACTCAGGCTTGTGTGTCCAGGATACAATCTCTGTTTCTGAATTGCAGAGAAGGTAATGGTAGACTCCAAGAGACCAGTGACAGGCTGATAAAATGTGTAGTCAGACTTAATTTAATTTCTTGCAGAGGAGTGTGACAAAGTTAAAAATTAATAGGAAGAGCCACAGGAGGTAAGAAAATACGGATGTAATTCTAATGAGTGAGAGACCAGGAACTAGGGTAGCGGCTATTTGCTCACGTATTATTGAGGATGGCATGGCAGATTGTTTTTCCTCAATCAAATAGAATACAAAAATTATGCAGAGGCAAAGAAAAAGCAAGGAAGACATGAAGAACATTTAAGTCTCTGGTGTGGCCTTAACGGAATATGGTGTCCAATCGTGGGCATCACACAATGGAAAAGGTAACCACTCTCTCAAAACATTTTAGTATAATCCTGCTGAGGCCAGGCCAACAAATCAAACAGTATGATTCTGCCAAGTCTGTATTGTATGTATTTAGAAGAAAAACAGGTATTCAGCATAAAGACCTTTACCAGTTTTGAGGTTGTCTTTAAAAAGGGGAAATCCCAAAAAACATTCATACAAAGACAAAATGTAAAGTTGCTTGGAGGGATAAGTTTCAAAGAATTGGTGAAAAGTTCATTTATTGTGTCAAAATGCTGGTAGCGTTTTTAAAAACCAAGGCTTCCTATAAATCATGGAACAGCTGACAACTGCTTGCTTTGCTTTATGGCTAAGTTTTGAACAGTGACTGTTTTAGATTTAAAAAGGTAACAATGCACTGTATGTTTGTTACATTTCCACAATAGTACTGTTTGAAACTTACAAGTGCTTGAGAGACTGTCACCCTGGATGTAACTGTGCTTGCATGATGCATAGGCTTCATGTACAACACAAGAGGTACTAATGTCTGATGAATGCCTCAATACTGGAGTCTTGATCCGAGACGGTCATTAACATTAGTACACCTGTCCTACTGGAGGGTCTGCAGGATTTTTGGAGGATGCATCTCTTCTGTAATGGAAGCTAGATCATCAATGAAAACAGATGGTCATAAAAAGTTCACCTGGTACACTAATGTCTTTTAGAAAAGACAATCTACCATCCTTGCCCAATCTGGCCTGCTGTGCATCTGGATTCACATGCAAGTCTTAAGGCTATCCAAACAATTCTGTTGTATTTAACTCAACTAATTACTTGAATGCAAATAGAGCTTGTAGCAAACGGTAGCATGGTCAGAAGCACCATTTTCCGCGAATTTCAAATGCATTAGAGCAGTGACTGAGGTTTAGTGCTATTACAGCATTTAATTAGGGTAGAAACTGGGGAGTTATAATGAGCTTCAACATGCTTTCCATTGAATCATAGCATAGGAGAGGACCTTCAGCCCAACTTGTCAGTGCTGCCAAACCTAACTACACTAGTCCCACTTTCCCAAACCAACCCCACAGCTTTGAATCATACAACACTTCAAGAATTCATAAAGTTGTGTTTTTTTTTTTTTTTTTTAAAATTGAAAAGAAAAAAAAGTGAGTGGAGGCTACCTGTCTCAACTACCCACCCAGGTAGTACATTCCAGATCCTCAAATGCACTCTGGTGGATACAATTTTTCCCCTCAAAGCCCCCCTAAACATTCTGCCTATCACTTTAAAATGCCTCCTTGTTGGTGAGCTTTTGACTAATGGTGTTAGCTGCTTTCTATTCACCCTGACAATGCCCTTCATAATCTTATACACTGGTCACTCCTCAGAATCATGATAGCCCACAAACCATCAGCCACACTACAACAGGTACTGATGAGAACAAATAATCTGACAACCACAACTAACAGAACCAATGTTATTTACAAGATACCATGCAAAGACTGCCAAAAACAGTACATAGGGCAAACCAGAAGGGAACTAGCCACCAGGATTCACCAACACTAACTAGCTTCCAAGGAACATTACCAACTATCACTCGTTTCAATACACATGGACAGAGGGCCACCACTTTGACTAGGACAATGTAGCTATCGTAGGATGAGCCAACCACAAGGCATGCACAAGAATTCCTGGAGGCCTGGCACTCAGACTGGAAATCCCTTAAACATGTAGAGCTGGACCCCATATACCAACCACTAGGAAGCAATGCCACCCACTCCAGAAAACCAAGACAAAAAAGAAACAACAAGCAGGACTAAACACCAACACTTCAGAGGCGCATTGATGATGATGCTATCTAGTATGGTGACAAACATCTGCAAACAAACTTACGAGCTCATCAAGCAAGTCACCAACTGCGTTCACTAATTCTGTACCAATGTGCATAAGGCTGACTGATCCATCTGTATCTGTCAGATGATTCAGTATTTGGCTCAGTTCTACATCATGGCTCACTGTGGAACTGTTCCACAAGAATTAAAGGAGGAGGAGGAAAAACTAGCTGTCAGCAGCAAGACTGAAGCAAAAGTGAGATGAATTACTAAATCACCCCTATTGTGGCACAGCCAGAAGTACTCCCATATTTATAACTGAATGCTATAGGCTCAAGTCCCATATGGCTGAATAGGGAATATGGCAGATTTCACCTCCAAAAAAAAGCGAATAAACTAAATGGCATACTCGAGGAGTGTGGCACTGTTGAAGGTGCCAGCTTTCAAAAAGGAGACTTTAAACAAAAGTATAAGAATCAGCCTGCTCAAGATAATGCGAAGGATTGCAGGCACTATTTTCAAAGAACAGCTGGAAGGAGCTATCCTTTCTGGCCTGGGCAATATTATCCCTCAAATTAATGTTATAGATCATTTGGTCATAAGATAAGATATAGGAGCACATTTGGGCCATTGAGCCCATCAAATCTGCTTTGCCAATTGATCATGGCTGATTTGCCTCTCAACCCCATTCTCCTGCCTTCTCCCCACAAACTTTCATCTCCTTATCAAGAAGGCATCCATCTGTCTTAAATACACTGACTTAGCCTCCACAGCCATCTGTGGCAATGAATTCCACAGATTAAGCAGTCTCTGGCTGGAGAAATTCCTCCTCATCTCAGTGTTAAAAGGGTCAACCCTTCACTTGTAGGAGAGATGAGGGCCCAAGCCTCCAAGTGGAAACACCTTCTCCACATCTGCTGTACCCAGGCTTCAGTATTCTGTAAATTCCATATCAGATCATCCCACATCCTTCTAAACGCCAAATATAGACCAAGAGTCCTCAACCAGCCCTCATGACAAGCCCGTCATTCTTGGGATTATTCTTGTAAACCTCCTCTGGACTGCCTCCAACACCAGCACATGCTTCTTTAAATGCAAGGCACAAACTGCTCGCAATGTTCCAAATGCAGTCTGACCAGAGTCAGATACAGCCTCTGCAGTACATCCCTGCACTTGATTTCTAGACCTCTTGAAATGAATGTGAATATTGCACCTGCCTTCCAAGAGCCAACTAAACATGCACGATAACCTTAATGGAGTCTGGAATAGGACTCAAATCCTTTTGTGCTTCAAATTTCGAAAGCCTTTGCCTATTTAGAAAATAGTTTATACCTCTAAGTCTTCCCTCACACTTTCCCACATCATATTTTATCTGCTACTTTTGTCCATTCTCCTGGCCTGCCCAAGTTCTTCTGCAGCCTCCCCACTTCCTCAACATTACCCGTCCCTCCACCTCATCTGCAAACTTAGCAACAATGCCCTCACATTCTTCATCCATGATGTATGAAGTGAAGTGTTATAGTAGCAGCACTGACCCCTGTGGAACTCTAGTAGTCACTGACTGCCATTCTGAGAAGGACCACTTTATCCCCACTCTGCCTTCTTCCAGCATACTGTCATTGATCCAAGATAGGTTAATTGAACAGGCAAGAGTTTGGAAAATTCTGTAATGTTGGTTTGGTGGAGGTAGGGCGGGGGGGGGGCGCGGGGGGGATGGTGGCAGTGGCAGTGGCAGGATAAACCGGAAAAAATGTAACCTGCAGAATACCAGTAGCTGGGTGACTTTGTAAAGTGAAGTCAGCATGCAGGTACAACAGGTAAAGATTGAAGGCAAACAGAACACTAGCCTTAATTGAGATTGGAGTATTAAAGTAGGTATGCCATGCCACAGCTGTACAGGACCTGGGGTGAACCCCATCCAGAGTACTATTTGGCCTTACTCAAGGATGGATAAGTGTGCATTGGAACTGTGCAGTGAAGTTTTGCTTGATGACTCCTATGATGAGGAGCTTGAAGTTTAAGAGAATGACAGGTAATCTTTTTGAAAGATCAAAATTCAGAGGGTGCTTGGTGGAGTAGGTGCTAAGAAAAAACCTAGAATGGTTTCAAAATAAGATGGTAAAGCATTTCTTTCAAGGGTCTATAGTCTGTGAAATTCTCTTCCAAGGGAGCAGTGCACATTGGGTCATTGAATATATTCAAGGTTGAGTTAAACAGATTTGCAATCTGCAAACAAGTGAAGACTTAGGGGACAAGTAGCAAAATGGAGTGAAGACCAAAATAAGGTCAGCCATGATCTCGCAGAATGACAAACCAGGATGGATGGGCTGAATGGCCCACCCCTGGTCTTAAAGATATAAGCCTACATTAGCGATTACAAAACGTACTTCATTATTTGAAAAACCATTTAACAGTCATGAACATCACTATGTATATACCAGTCTGCTTTCTTAAAAAAAGTAATCAAAAACTCAGTGGTTGAAGGGAAGGAGACAGTTTCATGACAAGTTCAACTTGAAAGAATTACATTTCCTGTTGCAGTGCAAGAGGAGTCATTTAAACAACTGTTTGAAGCTCACTGAAGGTCAGAGCTGTCCCTTGAACATTAAATTAATGGGCAGCTTCATATTCCCACAGTCAGCAGGAAGGGTGGGCTGCCACTTAGGAGTCAGCATTTCAAAGGCAATTTTTAGTAGGAGTAAATCCCAGAAGCATTCAGCACCCAACATTTTATTTTGTTTTTTTTTGGTGGGTGGGGAAGAAAGCAGAGAGGGAAAGGGGTTCAGGAAAAAAAAAAAAGACGACGACAAGCCATGACAGACCGAGTGCGAGAGATATTCTAGGAACTCATCCAAATCAAATTAGTACAAGGGGTGGAAGGTACATAAAATCAGTACAAAACACAGCCCCAAGTAAATCCAAAATAAGAGAAACATGGAGTACAGCAGGTCCACTCAATATAGATGGATGTAGATATTTCAGGTATACCAAGTTACATCAGCAGGTTAAAACTAAGATCTCTTTGAAAACTTAACGTCTCCTTGAGCTCAGCTAAAGGCTGATGGCGAAGGATAGGACTTGGTAGGAGGTCAGTGCATTTCATGTTACTTCCCCTGCCAAATGCCAACTACAGATGAGGGAGCAAAGCACCAAAAGCCTTCTGGAGTCCCAACAGTGCCAACTGCCTAGGACAGATGAACAGATGTATGCACGCACACAGATAAGAGGATAATAATAGAGTCCAGATTCCACTGAGCAACTGTGGGGTATACCATGGAAGCAGATTTTTTGCTTTTGTAATTTTGTCAGGGAATAAGCTACACTCTGTGGGTCACTATTTATTGCTCATCCCAGCTTACCCATAAAAGATGGTAGAGAGCTGCCTTCTTGAATTATTGTGTTGTTAATGTAGACCCACAATGCAATTAGGGAGGAGTGCTAGGATTCTGACCAAGAGACACTGAAGGAAGGGTAATATTTCCAAGTCATGGTGGTGAATGGCTTAGGAGGGGAACTTGCACATTATGCAGATCCCATGTATTTGCTGCCCTTGTCCTTCTAGATGAAAGCAATCGTGGGTTTGAAAGATGCCATCTAAGCATCCTTGCATGAGTCTTGCAGGGCATCTTGTAGATGGCGTCCACTATTGCTACTGTGCATTGTAGGTGAAGAGGGTGAATAATGAGCCAATGCCTTGGACGGTGTTGAACTTGTGTTTATGGAGCTGCATTCACCCAGGCAAGCAGAGAGTATTCTATCACACTCCTGACTTGTGACTTAGATGATGGATAGGCTTTAGGGAATCAGAAGTCAAGTTTCTTGCTACAGAATTCCTAACCTCTGACCTTTGGATTGGTGTCAATATCCTGCATTTAATTGGCAGCATTGGAAAGCACAAGAATAGGCTATGATGGTTTACTAAATTGCAAGCAGATGAATTTGATCAAATCAGTACAGATATTTAAAGCCATTTCCTCAATTAGGAAATTTACCTGCTTGTTGAATTTCCTGGTACTTGAAATTGGGAAGAGCCAGGTTGCAGTTGGAGGGATAAGTTCACTTTCAGCAAAGTTAATCCACTGCTGGATGAGGGCAGCTTCTTGAATAGAAGTACCTCGCAGCATACCACTGCTAACTGGAAGGAGAAAAAAAAAGTCAGGTACTGCAACAACATTCATTTCCCTAAACAGTTTGGAATCACATGCAGACCATCACTATGAAAACTGTTTATACAAACTAAAATTAACTTGCATTTATCTGAAGCCTGAATGTAGTAAGCTACTCAAAGCATCTGGAGATAACTGGACAAGAGGATTTAAAAGAAAAAAACGCCACACCATTCAGGAGAGCACTGCAAAGGCACGGACAAAAGTACTTTTCAGGGTGGGATAGGGGAAGGAAGAGGAGAAGAGAGAGAAAAGGGAACGCTTTAAAAGAAATCTGGAGATTACTGCCTAGGCATAGCTATGAAGATACTGGAGAAACTAAAGTTAGAAAAAGATGTTCACAGTAAAGGAAGCCATTAAACCCATGTCTGTACAGCATCCCAAGAGTGCTACACAGCTAGTCCCCTTCACCTGCCTTAATCACTTTCAAATATATATCCAGCTGTTTTGAAACCCTCAATGGAATTCACCTCTGCCAAGGAAAGAAGTTTCTCCTCATCTCACTCCTTGCTGACAGTCTTGAAATTGTGACCTTGTTACACACATACCAACTAGTGGAAGCAGAATATCCTTCTACACCCTGTCAAAATTATTCATATTTGTTCAAAATTATGAACATCTCAACAAGGTCACCACTTCATCTTCTCTGCTCCAAGGACAGCAAGCCTAATTTCACTCATCTTTTGTTGTGTCTAAAAATTCTTTATTTCTGTTATCATTCTAGTAATTCTCCTTTGCATTCACTCCATAGCTTGGACATCCTTCCTTAGGATGCCCAGAACTGAATACAATACTCCACAAGGGTCCAACCAATATCTGTAGAGGTGTAACCTCACTTCCTTGCTTTTACGATTTCTGCCTCTAGTTATAAACGCAAAGATCCTACAAGCTTTAACTGTTTCAACTTGCCTTCTCTTCAGAGAGTTATACACTTGATCCTTGGGGTCTCTCCACTCCTGTACTCCCTATTGGCTGTACCATTGAGCCGGAATGGTCTGCGTTTCATCTGCTAAAATGCATTAACTCATATCTCTGCATTGAGATTCACATGGTAGGTGTCTGTCCATTTGGCCAACTTGTCAATGTCCCTCTGAAGTTGCTCAGTGTCATCCTCACAATTCACTTTTCACCAGCCTAGTATCATCTGCAAATTTAGTGACTTTATCCTCAAATTGTTTAGTGGCAAAACCAGATGAACATTCAAAATCTTTGGTAAGGTGTTTTTAGTATTATCAGTTCTTAAATTGCACTAGTTTAAAATTGGAGGTTGTTGTATGCAAAGTTGACACTACATTGCAAGAGATTGAACTTAAAAAATAAAAGATTTTTGGGGGCATTCAGAAACCTATAGGGAAAAAAGAAAAGAAATCTTCAAATGAAATGCTACTCTTAACCCAAAATGCTGAATGAAAAAAAAGAAGTCACTCCTGCAGAGCAAGGATGGATTAGTCTATCAAGGTCACAGCTAAAATCAGGGTTACACTGTTGAAGCTTGTTAATTTGTACACTGATCATTACGGATGCATTGCCCATGTTAAAAGAGCACCTTTTCTCCAGGAGAAATCACAAGGGAAGGCTCAGACTGGACAGAGAATCTAATTCAAGCAATCAAGTAGTTCAGGCCAAGTGTGTAGAAAGTGGAGATTTTGTAGGTAAGAGTCTGCGAGATTTAATGTCAATTGGCGTTGAAGGAAAGTAAAACAGATCCCAGTAAACTACTTCAGGAACAAAATAGCAGTGGATTCTTTAGCCATTAAAACAGTGGGAATTCCCTCACATTCCTGCAGTTCAAAAAAGCTTCTGAAGTCAGCCTTTTTGATCAAATCTTGCACCTCATGTTACTTAAGGTAGCAAGTCTTTATCCTCGATAAACAGATCTGAGAGCACAACATCTGTTGAAATTCTGCCACAGAAGCCTAGAAGTAGCTGCCAACAGCTGTATATCAGCTACTTACGGTTCTAAACTCCAATGTTTTTGGCAGTCACACAACGTAGCCCCGAGGAGAGCAACTAACCCTGTTCATTAGGTGGCGTTCCCTCTGGTAAGGTGTCGGGCTAGTGGATTTGGGAAGGCATACATTTGGAGCATCAGGAGTTTAATACTGCATGTAAAACAGAACCAACTCTCCCATTAGAACACATGGCACTTCCTCCCAAATTCTAGCTGGATCCTCACTAAAAAAATGAATTTCTCTGAAAACAAAATAAAGTGCATTTTTTTCCCCCCTTTCTCAAGTTTGGACTCACTCATTTAAAGACTTGCATTTCTGCAGCACCTTTCTCAGCCACAGGATACTTCACAGCTCTGTTGCAATACAGGAAGCTGCCAATTTGCACACATCAAGCTCCCAAGCTCAAATATAATAATTACTTGATCACTGTTAAAGTACAAATAGAGATTTCCTGTACAAAAGTAACTTCCCAGCTCCTGTTTAAAGATTGTGTAAAAGATCGCATGACAAAAGGAAGTGGAAGGGTGGTGTGGTTTAACATCGCACCCGAGAATGGTACATCAGACACCGCACCACACTCTGATGTACTGGAGTATCAACTTCCTCATTTATATAGAACTCCCGGAGTAACGCTCAAACCCCTAACTTTTCAATTCGGAAGAAAGTGTGAGACCCTGTGACAGACAGTTGATTTACTGGAACAAGGAGAATTATACAGGGAGAAGGCCTGCACCACCAGCATTAATATGCAAAACATGAATTTATTATTTGTGGGTAGGGTTTGTTTCTGAGTTGACTTCATTGTTCTATTCTCTTCCCACCAGACCAGCAGCACGTTCACACTAGCCACTGGGAGGTCTCCCTGCCTCACCCCCTGGCAGATTGGGAGGAGTGCTCAGGAACCAACGCACACAGCACTTGCATTATAAACAGGATGTCCTAAATCACACACACAAGCTTCCTCTGCAAAGACGGGCCGTCTGCAGCTCCACCCTGGCAGGAATCACGTAAGACTACAACTGGTGGAACGACACTCTCTGGGTTGCATGCCTTCTACATCACCAGCTAGAGTACTTCTCCTGCTCCTGGAGTCAGCTATAACAAAACAAAAAGCTTCCCCCACAAAAAAAAATCCAGTTCACAAGTGTACATGTTAACCAGGCCCATCCTTTATTTCCTCCTTCCACCCTGCCCTCAAGCAAGCCAGTGCTTCGTTCAGAGGTTGGGCAAGTCAATCTATTGGGACCAGCAGCAGTCACATTCTAAACGTACGAGAGACCTGGAGACACTTTTATAGAGCCAGAGCCAAAGGTGAGATTAAAATACCACTGACTAGAAATTGAACTGCACCAGCCATAAATACTGTAACTGCAAGAGCAGGTCAGAGGCTAGGAATCCTGAAGCAAGTAACTCAGACTCTCCAAAGCCTGTCCACCATCTACAAGGCACATATCTTAAGTGTGATGGAATAATGCCGTCTTGCCTGGATGAATGCAGCGCCATCACAACAGCAAAGTTAACACCATCCAGGAGGAAAGCAGCTCACTTGACTGGCACCCCATCCAAAAGCAAACAAAAAAAAAAAAAAAAAAAAAAAAAAAAAAAATCACTTCCCCATCAATACACTGTAGCAGCAGCAGTATGTACCATCCACAAGATACACTGCAGAAGTTTACCAAGGCTGCTTAGTACAGCATTTTCCAAACCAATGATATCTACCACCTGGAAAGTCAAGGGCAGCAGGTATGTAGAAACACCAAAGCGCTAAATCCCCTCCAAGCCACCCATCTGGACTTGAAAATATATTGATATATCACTGCGGATGAATTAAAAATCCTGGAACTCCCTATGCCCAATGGACTGCAGCAGTTCAAGGCAGAACTTGATCAACCCCCTCCACTCAAGGCCAATTGGGGACAGGCAACAAATACTGACCCAGCCAGTGAAGCCCACATCTGCTAAACAAACAAAAACACCTTCTGAAAAGTGATAGGGTCCCCTCACTTAAGAAAGTTGATTAGACCCATATTCCCAGACTAGCCTCACTGTGTAGCATAATCTCCCACTCTGCCATTACTATGAAGCCACAAGATCAGCCCTGCTTCAAAGAGTAAAAAGGGGAGCATGCCAGGAGCAACAATAGATCAAAAATGAGGTGTCACTCTGGTGAAACCACTTCAGGATTACTTGCAAGTCAAACAGCATAAAACTTACAGGTCTCATACCAACAGATCAGACCTAAAATCTACAATCTCACCACATCCTGTTGTGAATGGTGGTGGACAAACAGCTCACTGTAAGAGGAAGCTTCACAAAGATCCCCATTGGCAATGATAGGAGAACCCAGCACATTGGTGCAAAAGACAAGGCGGAAGCATTTGCATCCATCTGCAGTCCCCTCCAGAGATCCATAGCATCACAATATCAGGCTTCAGCTTTTTCAATGCACTCAATGGGAAATTGAGAAACAGCTTAAGGCACATGATATTGCAGAGTCTTTGGATCCTGATTGCACTAGGTTCAACTCCAACCAGAAAATGAAGCAAGATGGTTGTGGCTGAAGGTTAATTATTGGATATCAATACATTCTTCGGATATGTATCCTAGGCCCACCCACCTTCAGCTGCTTCAATATCCTTCCCTCTATCACAACAGGGCTGAAGTGGGGATATTTGCCAATAACTGCATAATATTCAGGACCATTCAAGAACCCCTCAGGTGCTGAAGCAGTGAGAGACTAAACGCAGCAAAATTGGTCAACATCCAGGTTTGGGCTGACAACAGGCAAGTAACAGCCATGCCACATAAATGCCAAGAATGATCATCACCAAAAGAATCTAATCATTTCTTCTGATCATGCAATGGCATTAAAAAAAAAATCAATCCCCCAATACCAAACCAGGGGTTACCATTAACAAACAAACAAAGACTAGCTATACAAATACGGTGTCTACTTTTGTAGAATTTCTAAACAGTCATACAGCATGGAAACAGGCCCTTTGGTCCAACTCATCCAT